CCGGAGCCCGGCGCAGGGGCCCGCGCTGCGGGGCAGGGCCGGCGCTCGCAGCCTGCAACGGATCGTTGTATGCCAGTAATGCACGGGTAGAACCATAGAATACGGGTCTGAAATAAATTCTGGGAGTCGGGATCACCCCCGCCTGCCTCCAAGTACAATAATTTATGCAAGAGGAAGCTCGCGGGAGCTCTGGGCAGCTGTAAGCACGGGTAATGCAATACAAATCATACACGACCTTATTTAATGTGTCACTTGTGCAGCCTCTTGGTGCAGCCTGGTTCTCATTGAAGCCCTGCAAACCCTCGGCTGATTTACACCGTGCTGCATGAGCACCCCTGGGCTTGGGTGTCCGCCACGTTGCCGGATCCTTTGCTCCCGGGTGGCCAGAGCTACTCTCTGCTTCCCATCCTGTGCCAGGCTCTTGGCTTTGCACTTCATGCTGGTTCCTCCTGTCAGGCACTTGGTTCTGCAGCAGCAAACTCTTCCCAGGGAGTTGCTGCTCAGTTAAAAAATCCTAACAGACCTAAATAGCCATATTTTACTGTATAAAAGTACCGTGTAACTAAATAGTTGTACTTTAATGTGTAAAAGTAATGTGGGAAGTGTCTGGTTGTACGGTGATGAAGGCAGAGGAATTCTGAAGCTCGTGCCGGTAGAAGCAACCAAGGAAGGAAGAAGCCATTGCAACGTGTCAAATCTCTTGACTCTTTTATCATCTGAATATGAAAACATAAAAGTGTGCTCTGTGTTCTGTTAAAGATAGCACTAAAATTAGCATTGCACAGAGGAGGTCATAAAAAGACAAGGCTGACAGATTTCAATCACTTCTTACTGAGAGACAAAGAGATCAACTTAAAATTGAATTATCACTCCAGCCATAGCCATAACACATGCACTAATTTGTTCAAGGAAAAAAATCCTGTCAAGTCATTTACCTGCAGCCATTATAGATTGATTTTAAGGGAAATAAGTCCAGTATTTGCATGCAAAAACACTTGTGTTCTTGCTTCCCTAAATGCACGTATGATGGCATTGCTCTGCATCATTGATGTGCATCTAAACATCTAATTGTCTTCTTCACAACTGATTTGGCTTTGCCTATAAATACATCTCTAACTGTACCCATACTTTAGCTCGGTATTGTGTTCTCACAGTGTAGAACTAAATCTGAGTCCTTTTGCCAATTTAAACCTTAATGCTATTGTGTTTGTGTCTGATTACTCTGCTTTGGAATTAGTTAATCATTACCGAATGATACAGAAACAACTATTTTGACTGAGCTGGAACTATTTTGCTTAAAGTAAAAAAGCTAATGATAGTGTTTAATAAAAGAAAACATTCTTTTTAGACTAGTCCTTCTAGTTTAAAACAGGGCTAGAAGACATTGCTGCATGTTCAGTCCTGTTCATATAAACCCTTATCATGGAAGCAGCCTTCTTGCCTAAGATGGCAAGTTCAATGGCAGCTGAGGACATCCAGCACATCATATTATCAGTGCCATGGCTGTAATCGAATCCTCTGCTCACGTTCGTGAAGCCATGCGCGGAAAGACAGATAGCAGTAGGGCTCGTACACGATCACATTCGCTGTCTGCCGCAGCAGGGGAGAGGGGGGCTCACCGGTGATTAATGGCTTTGTTCTGTGCAATAAGACATGGTGGAGTGAAGCCACAGCACCGCAATAAAAATCCTGGAGGTGTGATGCCCAGGAGTCTTGAGGACAACTGTTTCATCCTGACAGGACGGCAGTGTCACAGGACACAAAGAGAGGGCTCAGGCCAGGGTTTGTGGTGCTGGCAGAGAGGATGTTCATGTTCTGGGCAGAAGGACAAAACTGTTCCATTTTCAACCAGGAAATGTAGAGTGAAGAAAGGTCTTTCCAATAACCTTCTAGTTCACCACCATTCCTACACCACGTGACAATCATTTAGCCATCGTTTGGGAAGGACTTGGACATGTTAGCTGGCCTTCGGAGCTGAGCTACCCAGCTGGACACTCCTGCAGTTCAGGCTGAGGGCCGTAAGGCTTTGGCAGCGACGGAGCTCCCTGCTGGTGGCTCCTGTTCAGCCGCCGCAGTGAGGCCTGTCCAGGCTGTCGCTGGCCTTGTGCTCAGGCAGCCTTTGTCCCTGAGGTACCCCCGGCAGTCGATGGAGTTCACCCTTAAGGATGCTGGAAATGAAGGAGGGTAAGACAACGTGATTAGTCCTGAAATGTGTATGTTCTAATGTAATTGACATTGATTTAACTGCTGCTTTTTTTAAAGGCAAAATTCAATAAAAAATGAACTGTCAATATCTTCCTTACAGCTTTCTGTCATTGGTACTATTCCAGAATGCAGCAGTTTCTCAGCAGTAGGAAATTAAATGACAAAGATCAATGGCTTTGCCATCTCTCTCGTGCTCTGGAGGAGTCCCGGCATGCTGGCCACGCGGAGCAGGGAAGGAAGAGGAGGAAGCGCTGGGTGCTTCATTCAGCCCTGGCTTCGTCACTCTGTTGCCCGGTTTACTGCAGGCGGCTCCTTGATTAACACAAGCGCACCAGTACCACAGACAAGTCTGATCTGTGCCAACGTCCATGACCATGTCTGAGGGTCTATGCTCAATGCTCTATTCCATGGCATGGCATGGAGGTACCCGCTTCATAGCGAAATTGCTGTAGAGTGCTATCATGGCAAAAAGGCTCTTTTTCACACCTCCTAGGTGTTTTGAACTAGATTGTTTTGAACACCCCAAGTGCAGGTAAGTGGAGACATGGAAGATGAGATCCTCCATTTTTTCAGGTGAAAGGCTGACCTGTAGTCCTCTGAACCAGCATGATGAGTCTTCCTTAAGCAGCAAACAACTCCCCGCCCAGTTCAAGGTATTTCATTTTTCAGAACTTTAATGCTGAAAAACAAAATCATTGTCCTGTCATGTCTCTAATATTGCTTCCCATGGTTACAGCACATACCAAGCTTCGTAGCTAGGCAGAGAACAGGCCTGCGTTTCTCCCCATAGACTGTTATAAAAGCCAATTAGGCTGTTACTTAATTTTCCTCCTTTTTTTTTTTTTTTTCCCCGATGCACAAGGGGAAGCAGTTAAAAGTCTCCCCTAGCTACATTATGTAAATTTTAAAGTAAATTCTGTCTGAATTGTGATTCAGCTAGTTTATTGTTAAAATGTCATCTGACTGGAGCACACATACAAGCTGCATCCAGGGAAGGGTCACCCATCAAAAGCACAATGTCTTATTAAAAATGTGTATATGGGGGCGAGGCTCCCAGCTTTGCCTGCAGTGTTGCTTTGCACTGCAGCAGAAGCAGCAGCGTGCGTGTAGGCGGGTGAAGGCAGGAGTAGGAGGGAAGCGGTCACGGTCCAGACTATTCTGCTAATATTTATTCGGGCTCTGACCATTTCCCAGCCCAGGCTCTGTCTTGACTGACAGCTCTGGGGACAAGCAGAGCACCACATAATGCCTGCACTGGCAGATACTGAGCAGTCAGCCAGGAAGCGGTGAGGTGCAGAAATCAAATGAACCCTTTTCAGATTCAAACCGCTGCTTAAGCAGCTTTTGTAAATAAAATCTCTCTGCATCATGACACATGGAAAAATATTGGAATAGTAGTGTTTTTATTTCCTATTTATTTCTGTGTAATCAGTTCTCCTCTGCTCTTTTTGTCATACTAAATGTATGGCCATTCCTACGGGAAGTTCCCACTGAAACAGAAGCTCAGCATGCAGGAATTTGGATTGGACCTGCCATATGCAGTGATACTTTGTGCCCAGATGCCCAGAGAAGGAAGAAAGGGGGACCAGCATAGTGCTGGGTCCATCTACCACCTCGGTATGTAGATTGTATCTGTGACTAGCTCCATTTTTCTCACAGAAATCCCGCTGCTTTTGTGGAAGATCATCACGGGAATCAGCAGAGTGTTCTTGCTCCACCAGCCATCTCATATCCCTCCACATCTAGTTTCCAGACCCTCAGACATCATGAAAATCCAAACTCCTGTTAAACAGAGATACTGTTCCCTCATGAAATTGCTCTCCAAAGATGTGCCTTCATGTTACAGCACTGAATTCCAACACTGTCCAAATATGAAGTGAAAAGTATTTTGGAAGTGTTTTTTGCACATTTCCAGGACACCAAGAGAGGTGGATCCAAAAATCTCTGAAAATGGCCCACAGAATCTACTGAGACTGACTTCTGTAGTAGTCCAATGTGATTCAGGTCAAAAACACCGTGTGAATTAACAAGCACACAGCCTTTTCCGCTGTGTTTGGCTTGTGTTTTAATGTCTCTTTTTGCTAATCATAAGCTCTCTGATACAAAATTGACCTAGCTTTTTTTTATCATTATTATTATTTTTAAATAGGTCCTATCTATGCACTAGCTTAAGCAGGTGACCTCTGCCAGAACCTGTGGCTGGAATTTGGCCCACTCTGGGAATGGCTTTGCAAGGGGGTTGCTTAGCAAGGGTGTTGCTTGGCTCAAACAACCTCCTGAGGTCTTGCCTGTCCTAAATTATTCCAGGATTCTAAAGGCTGTGAGAAATTCCCTTGCAAAATATGTGAACACTGGAATTCAAAGTACAGTGAGTGTTTTGCAGTCACTGCATGTTAGATGGTCTTACCGCTCTATAAGGCGACTTGTGCAGATAAATTTCATCTGCTTTGGAAAGGAGCAAGCATGCAGTCTGGTACGGGATGGGTGTATCTGCACAGGGAACTGGTGTGGAGCAGCAATTCCCAGCTGTTTGCCTTGGTTGCCCTGTGCATACCTTATCTTGTGTAATGCAAGTTTTGTGAACTATGTGGACAGTAATAATGCATTTCCCAAAATTCTGTGGGATTTCTTACGCCTTGTACCCCTGGGTAGTGACGAACTGTGATGGTTCTTCTTCCACCCAGCACTCAAACCCCAAACAAAACATCCAATGAACAATTATTTGCCAACAACTGCAGCAGCAGCAGCTTCCTGTGGGTTATTTTAATGGATTTATCAGTCTGAACTAAGCCCTGGCCATCTGTTCTGGCCTCTAATTGCAAATGTAGAAAGAGCTAATTCACAATTGCATCATAAAAAAAGGAAAATCTGAATGATTTAAGAGTGAGGTAGGTCATGCTTCACCCTCTGTTTGGGGGAATTGCTCTCCCTTCAGTTGTCTGATTTTCCTGAAAACCAAGTTTGAATCTTCCCTGGCAAGCAGGAATTTGTGAGGAACAGAGCTCACTGAATCAGATTTTATTCCTGCTTATTTATGCTAGGTGTGTTTTTAAATATGTAATTGAGATTCATGTACCTTTTTTTTTTCTTCCTTCTCTGTTATGTGAATCCAAAAAGAGGGACTGTGGTATTTCTAATGCATCTTCTAATCAGGAGAAGCTTAAAATGCTTAAAAAACCCCTGAAACTCTGCATGTCTCTCCATCTCACCTACAAAACTGCCCTTTTGCGGTTGAAGCCATGTTGCTGCTTTCTTAAATCAGAGGATGTTGTGTTAGTAGTTGGTCTTCATGATGGCAGGGGTGAGTGAACATACCCAGCTACTTAGGAATTACTTTATATTGTTTTTTAGGACTTATGTGGCAAGGTCTGTCCTTTCTGTTCTCTGGAAACCTTAGACCAAATCTGGATGCAGCTGAACAAGTTGAACTGAGGGACCATGAAGCAGTACCTCAAAAAAGAGGCCAGAGTCTCCCCTACTGAGCTCGCTCAGGTCAGAACTACAGAGAAATAAACGGGGCAGGTAAAGTAAATGGACTGTAGATGGCCACAAATAACTTATCATGAAACGTTTGGCATCTGGGTCCTCGGATTTTTTTTTTGCAGTTATGTAGAAACAGATTGTGATTTCCTCAACTGCATATGTTATTTGAAAAATTAAAAAACGTGTAGTTGGGTGGAAGCAGTGCCAGAGATCATCCTAATTAGCAAACTTGCCTGAGGGATTTACAGAAGTACAGTGTGCAGTTCTGGTCTGCCATATGTAGAGTGCATTCCTTAAACTTATTCTTTTAGTGTAGTTTATGATTTTGTTATACTCCTTGGGCTCCAGCGTGTTCACAAGCTATTTGCTGGGAATACTAGCATCACATGTTATTCACTGGGAATGCTAGCATTCTGTCCTCAGGGCCTGAGCCGGGTTTCTAATGGGGCACATGGCATGCACAGTTTCCATTCCACGACTCTTTGAATGATATTTTTTGGGTGTCATTTACACTTATTTATTCACAGGTTGCCTTGCACAAATACTCTACAAATTTGACCCTTCCATGGCAAACAAGCAGAAAGGAGAGGGAAGATGCTCAACACAGCAGAGTATTTGTGGAGTTTTACTGGAACACCTCCTCAGGTCCAACCTCCATTACAGAAACCAAATAAGTGGATCATGCCTGTCGCTGCGCAGACACACGAGGGAGTCACCGGGTGCAGGGTCTCTCTGTAAGAAAGCAGAAAGCACCTACCCAACACAGCAGCTTTTCTAGGGCAGCTCTTGGTGCAGGTAACACTGCGTCCTGAACCCACCGTTTATTTGGTGTTATTTGTGCTTCAGACAACACAGACTGGTGAAGAATACCCTGTTACAAAATACCTACACCCAATATAACACATGGTCCAGCACTGGAAAGCCCCAGACCAGTTCAAACCTAGTACTTAGCTGTCTGTCATTGGAAACATCTAAAGGAATTTAATACCTGAATATTTCTAAGAACTTCTGTGTTTAGTATTATGGTCTCCGACTTTTCTTGTACTCATGGACCTAAGGGCAAGCTCTACAAAAGCATTTAGTGACCTCTTTTAAGTACTGCGTGTGCCATTTGTAGCTGGTGGAGGTAGGATTCAACTCATTTATATTAGAACTTTACAGTGTGAATTGAGTGTAATGGAAAGAAATTGGCACTTTAAGCAGGTGAGTCGTCTGTACTATAGTAGCAATCTACTATAGATAAACTGTGCCTTAAAAGTGGCCATTTGTCAGAGAATACTCCTCTAAGTCGCCAATTTTGAAAATTAGATGTCATTATCTGAATTTCTTATACTTGGGACTTGGAGCAGAACACCTTTCATAATTTGCTCCCTAATGTCAATTAAAATTAATGACTTGACATTTTGAAAATCCTTTTGACTCCTGAATATCCTTTTGACACCTGCCCTTTAAGGAACTTTCCTTCAAAACTCTCTCTCTCTAAAAGCATTTTCCTTAGAGAAGTTTAAATTAGAAAATGCATTAAAAGCACACTGCGGCTGTTGTAACTGTATTTTCTGTTTTTCATGGCCCTCTCATAAACAGGCAGCACCGCTGACCTGTAGCAGGATGCAGGGTGATCTTCAGGGGCACCTGCGAACAGAGAGAGGAGGCCGTGGGCAGGGAGCGCTGAGCGCGGAGGCCGAACGCGGCCCGGCCTGCGCCGAGGCGCCACGCGGGGCGCCCGGCTCCCCCGCACTGGCTACCGGGGAACTGTTTCCTCAGCGGTTTCGTTCTTTTGGCCAACATGGCTGTCCCGTTTGGGGGGATATGGTTGGGGCTGAAATAGCGAACTACCCTCAAGCCTGAGGAGCCCTGGACTGGTGGTGGGCTCGCTACCAGCAGCGGTGGGGTAGACACCTATCACCCGGGCGAAGGGGCTGCGCGAGCACAGGTGAGGGAACATCAAGGAAAGGATCTGTTGCTTATTTTGGTCTGACCGCTTTTCTCATCTGGATGTATTTCCCCTCAGTGTTTATCTAACTTTAAGCAAGAGCTGGCTTCAATTAGGCTTTGCACATGGTTTCCATAGATGACATCTCAGCATGTCAGTGAAACATCAATGAGCTGGAAGAACAAGCCGGTTAATTAGTATGCAAATAAGTGCACTCCTTAATGAGAGAAAAGCTTTTACCAGTTCACTGTGTCTCCAATACACTGGCTTCTGCCGTGTCCTGCAAATAACATCTTTTATAGGTCGACACATGCATATGTGTGTATGTCTCTCTTCCTATCATTCTGGCATTTCCGTGCGTATTTTACCTATGTCTGAAATGTAAATTCTGCCTGGTTAGAGGTGGACAAGGAAGGCTCAATAAAGTCATTCCAATATTCCTGATATCTTTTGGTGCCAGGGCCAGCATTTCCTTAACAGAAATATAATCAGCTCATTAAGAGGGCTAAAGAGCTTTTAATTCACCTGCACAGTCGTGCTGTGCCGGCTGCACCGGCTAGGGGTGAAGGAACGATGCCCGCGGGTCCGCGCGGCGACGTGGCAGCAGAGCCGGCAGCAGCTCCTCTGCTCGTTCCTGCGGGACGTTTGGAGGGAGCGGCAGCGGGACCGGTGGCTCCGGGAGGGCAGCGGCTCCGGGAGCAGCTGTGGGTCCGTACGCACTCGGGCCGGGTCACGGCTTTCGTGTGGACGCAGCACCTGACGGTGCCGGCTGCTGATAGCGCCCAGCGGGAACACATCCGAGCAGGGCGCTGGCTTCCCTGGGCGGAAACCCCCGCATGGGGGGCACCGTCCTTCCCTCAGGAGCTCACTGAGCTTCTCCATTGCTGCACTGCCAGGAATGCTTGTTGAGGGGACACTGGCTGTAGGTTTTCGAGTGTTTTCTACAAAGCCATACTTGTGGTTTACAATTTCCTTCACCCCTGCACACACTAATGTTAATTAGCAAATACGTATTTTTTTTTTCCCCTGATGAAAGCCCAGAATCGTGTTGGCCTAATTCTGCTGCAGAAAAAGCCAGCCCCTCCAGCGCCTGTGGCTGCGTCCCCTCTGCAGCGGGCCCGAGCTCACGCTCCTGTCCCCACTGCTTCCCCAGCTGCGTGGGGCCCTCAGAGGAGGGACCTGGGGGGTTGCATCCTCTTGCCCACCACCCGCTGGTTCTCCAGCCCCATGGGATCCCGCATCCGGCCTGGATGCTGCGGAGTGGTGTGACCCAGGTGCAGCCCCTGGCACCTCCGCACGTCCCCACCGATGTCTCCTTGAAAAGACGAGTCGTGAGAGCCTGGTACAGGCACGTGCCAGCACGACACGAGCAGCAAGGTTACGTTATCAGAATAAATAATAATGGCTACATAAAATAGATATGAAAATACTTTTTTCCCCTATACTTTTTTCTTGAAACAAGTGACATTCCACCTTCCACGGAGGCTGTCACTCTGGTTTCTGCCCTGTTCCTCTGTGACAGCTGTCTCCAAAGAGGACGTGCCTGTTCCGTGCTTCACTCCCCGCAGAGCCTTGCGGGTGCTCCGAGTCTGCGGCTCTGCCACAGGACCCACCACCGCCAGGGAAGGGGGAACTGGGGGCTGCCCCCGCACCAGGCACCACGCAGGGACAGTGAGGCCTGTTTGTGCAATCAGGGCCTGACGAGTGATCATTAATGCCAGGGTTTTAGCCACTATTTCACTCAGTATTTCTGAAGAACCCAAGAGCAAAGATATCCTATCCTTTCCTGAACCATCGCCTCCCTGCTGACTATCCTGTTATGTAGCTGTACGTTGCTACAGACAAGCCTGCATGGCTTATTAAGGATGAAAATATAGGTAGCATAAAATAAATTGACTTGAAAGACTAAATCAATAGTAGTTACTCTGCTGACTGCTCGTTTTCATTTATCAATGAAAGCGTTGAATTTTTAAACAAACCTATCACTAAATTTCCATTCTGTTGCACGAAACTCTGTAGCACTAAGAATTGGCATAGGATTAGAAATGCCCTTGTCACAGTCATCCCTTCAGGATGGAGGAGATGGAGCAACTGAGATGCCTCCTGAAGCTTGTGGGACCCTGTAAACCAAAATATTTAAGATTATTCTGGAGCACTCTCTTCCCCAGAAGATCCACACACCTTGGGAACGAAGACAAGGCTTGGCAGATGCATTCTGATTAACTGAGGAAAAAAAAGATGTTTATTTATTATTCTTGCCTAAGTTGTGAATTTGGGGCTTACCTTTATTCAGTAAGTGCTGTTGTTCAAGCCTTAAGACTAGGCCTCTCTTTTCCAAAGAAAAAAACCAATTGTTAACATATACCGTTAAGCTCAGGAGGTTGCTCTGCTTTGCTCTTCCTGTAGCCCTGTTGATCCTACATCCAGGTCTGGAATGAACATGAGCTCAGTTGCTCTTGTCAGGTCTGGGGGAATTGTGGACTAGGGCAGGGCACAACTGCAAGTGCCTGGGAAACACCAAATGCAAAAGTATGGTGGGTGTTTTCAAAACAACCACTGGGATTAAAGTGCTTAACTTCTATCTAGATCTCATTTCTGGCACCCAAGTCCATGACAATTTTGAAGTGGAAGGACTCAGCTAATACAAAGCTAAAAATTGTCAGAGACAAAACTATTCCCATCCAACATTATGGATCCAACATTATGGAGCAAAGTCTGATTATACCAGGCTGTGTACTACTTTTTCACTTGTTTAGCTAATCATTTTTTGTTAAATTAGCTTGTATGTTTAAAGTGGCATCTTCATTTTGATTTTGAAGAAACTTGCATTGCTTACATTGTCTCTTTTTTTTTTGTCTTTTATCAGAAACAACTAAAATAGCTTGTTTTTCAAGCGCTCTTCAAATAAAGACACTAACCTCTCATCCTTATGGTTCCAATACAAGACAATGAAATTCTAAGGTAGGGAAAACTATACAAAATGATAGTAGGAAATGAATTCATGTTTTATTTCCATTTACTGTATATTCAAAGCTGCCGTTTTCTATATCCCATCATACCTATCAGTGAAAACATACCACTTTTCAACAGTCTCCTGCCAGCTGAATAGCAGTGGTAAGAGACACATCCTGAGCCTTTCACGGACTTCTGCTTGGGTCTTGTGCATTTTCTCCTTCCATCCCGATGTCCAGAGTACTGGTGAACACAAGCTTAAAAATTGAACATGGAGTCACATAAGTCAATCTACAGCTAAAGAAGGTAAAACCTTCCCCAAAGGGCACCAGGAAATGGTGATGCCTCTCAATGGAGGAAGGAAAAGGAACAGTGGGACCTTGCTCATAAGCAGAAATGAATACAACACATATAAGCCTCTTTAAACCAAAGCAGTATATGGAAGTGACCTTGCTTACATACACATTAAAAACTAAATAAACACAGACTCCAAACTTCTTTATCATATTTTGGGTGGGCAGGAAGTAAATGTAAGAATGTCACTGTGGTCCTCTGAAAGGCACTCACGCATGTTGCCTGCATTGCCCTACAGGAGTTTTTGTCAGCCCTCTACCTTAAACCCCGTTGACAATGGTACTCCCTGAAATACTTCCTGCTTTTCCACTACATTCCGGCTCTTTCACCAGAGAGCATTTTCTGGACTGTTCTAGCTCGTGTTTGGCCTCTCTTAGCTACACCACTGTGCTGTGATTGCACCATGTAGCGAAAGACTGTAAGAAACACGTACACCTTGTGGGAAACTGCCCCTTCCCAGACCCTGTTTTATCTTCAAGTAAAAGTAAAGCATTTAAAGGGAGCTAGCAAGCAATAACTTAACAGGCACCTGCCTTCTCTAGGCCAGAACAAACCGTATTTACTTTTATCCAGAGTGTTTTATTATCCAATTATCAATTCCATCTAGTTCTAAGAAATGTGAGATGTTTCTACAGAGGCTGAAAGTGCACTACTGGCTTAGTTCTGATGGTCAAATTTTGGATTATTTCACACTGAAAATGTTTAATGGCTTTTACGTTACATTGTTTTACAAAGTGTCAGTCTCTTCAGGGACATTTAAGTCCCATAAACGCACATGGGAAGTGAAGGAACATCGCAAAAAAAACAGCCAAACAGAAACCAGAATAAATTGTACTTTGGAAATAATTCAAATATATTTAATAAGTATTATAATGTTAATACAAGCTAAATATTCTTGGTCTACCAATTTTTAATCTATAGTTTTGCAGTATCACAAAATAAACAGAACTTCTAAAGTGTTGAAATTGGAAACCTAAAATATGATGTTTATTTTGACATTTAGACCACATGGCATATGCAGATACATAAAGTGAGTTTTTAGAAAGTGAAGAACTCCTTTCAGCAAGTGAATATAGAAATACATTTTTCTTTTTCATAGCTGTTCCCCTCCAAAAAACATGTATTTCATAAATATGAACACTGAAAGCATCTTTAAAAGAAATGGGCATGATGCTTAAATACATTTATAGCGATCTGCCTCTGCGCTCCCTTGCTTCATCAAATTGCCTGGCTCAAACATTAGATCTACAATATACTCCTGAGGAGGAAGCAGAAGACCAGTTATTCCTTGAGGAGAGTCATCAACTAACTTAACTTCATTCCAGGCTCTGTTATACTCGCCACGAACTAAACTGCAGCCAATGCCAATTCTGTCTGCTATCACCTAAAAAAGAAGGAAAAAGGAGTTAATCACAGTTAATATATCTTGCCTGCACAATACACAGCTAGGTCAGGAGATGCTTAAAATGAAAATAGACACCTGAAAACCCAGGGGCATTCTTAAAAGAGGCTTTGTAAATCTCTCAGGTGTCCCTAATGCAAATCTCTGTTGTTAGTTCACTTAGAAATTGTTGGGTTATTGATATTATTTCTACCATATTCTATGCAGAGCATAAAAATCTTAATTTTAACTCTTTTCAGATATACTTGCATATCTGCCCCTCCTTCAGATCTCAAATGAACTACAGCACCCACAGTATGCAGTAATGCTTTTTTTTTTTCTAGTTGTAGTAGTTTTTCTACTTTTTTTTCCTAGTTTTCTTGTTAAACTCATTTCTGAGTAATGTTCTACCAAACTGTCTATACAAGCAACAAGGTTAGGTACACTGCACACATATACTGAGTATGAAATATTATCTGTTAAAAGGTAACATTTTTATCAGTGCAAATTTAGGACTGCTGCTTCACTCTGAGGCGCACTGCCTGCTTTTCAGCCTTGCTGATGTGTGAAGCAACGAAACACACGGCCAGTGCCTGCTAGATGGAGCACCTGCATTTCCTGCCTGCTGCAGGATCACTGACAGAGTTCTAATGTTTTCCAGCTACGAAACAGCTTTCTCAGTATGCTTCCTTCCTCTTTAAAGGAATGAACTCAGTTTTTAATATGTTACTAATGCACAAGGATATCCCTCACTTTAGGGAGCCCTTGTAGCTCTCTAAGGAGACAATCTCTACAAGGATTTCTTGTGAGACATTATGGAAAAGGGGCACTGGTAGGGAAGGGAATATTGAGGTTGTTTCGTTAAAGTTAATTCACTCCTTCAGACCTCCACAAAGTAAGTCAGGAACTTTCTCCACCCACAGGCACCATAAATTTAGGATTGTGCTCTTTTTCTGCGCTCCTGTGCACTGTTTCCTAGGTCCATGATGCTTAATGCCAAAGACTTCTCTTTTCCTTTCCACTCAAGAAGGGTTGAAAAAATCCAAGCTACCCAACAGCCAAGGGAAAAAAGGATGGGCCAGATAAGCAGTTTGCATCAGCACATCTATACATGAAGACAGAGGAAGGGGTGCAGCTTCCCAGGCTATGAAACTAGTGAATGAAAGCTGTTACATGCTCGCATAGAATACTAGATAGATGCCAACTAGAAACTGTCCCAACAGGTTTACATTTGTGGCATGAAAAGAAGGAAACTGCATAATTCAATACTTTACAGTTTACAGAAAATGTAAAATGTTTTGACTCCCAATCAAATATTTTGGCTTTTTGCCATTTATCAAGTATTCTGCTGATATCACTTAAGACAATTTAATGACAACAAGGATGTTTACAGAAAGCGGCAATGCCGGCTTTCATTCATGGGGAAATTGATTTTGCTAGTGAAAAATGACTTAAATGTATACAAAAGATTTTTCTTGACTATAAATATTACATTATACTGCAAGTGTACTTTAGTTTAAATGATTCACTAACCAAAAATAAGGTAATGTTATGTTGCAAAATAAATGTTAATATACCTTGAAAAGCAGAGCTCTGTGGTAGAATGTTCCTTTTTTGACTTTCCCAATAGGCACAACATTGCATTTCAGCTCAAATTCGATTTCACTTATGTGAAGTTCCCAGCTGAAGTCATGCAGTCTGTCTCTTTCAATTGGGCCACCCATCTTGTCTGCAACAAACCTGTTCCAGTTTATACCAAGATCTATTAAATCTATAAATTCTCTTGCATTTTATCACAAAAAATACATCAGCAAAATGAAATGCATAGAATCAACAAGTGAATGACATATAATGCCATAATACTTTTGTTATGTGTGCTTTATTTTTCTTTTATTTTAATAACTGTTAATTCACACATGCTCACTATTAAATACAGGCAGCACCAGGGCATACCAGCTGTTAGCAGAAACTCTAGAGAGGAGCAATACAAGTACCAAGCACTCATAGAAAAATTATCAATAAAAAAGTCAATTTAATGAGGAAATTGTTGAGAAATTAACATCCTTCTTCACAGCTAACAGATTACATGAGCTATTGATACGATATACAGCCCTATCAGTTTCTTGAAATAATAATAAAGACCTATGAAAATATAGATGGCACAAAGAAAGCCATAGATAGTGATCCCAGCTCCTGGAAGCAATCACATTCAGAAAAGATACTTCAACTTCTGCATGTCGAAGCTGGTATTTCACATAGTCCCTATATGAAAAGACCGTGGTCCCTCACGGTGTCCTCAGCCAAAGGCTCCAGCGTTATTGAGGACTCCGACCTTGCACAGGGTGTTGTGGAGCTGATACAGGAGCCATAAACCACAGCCTCAGGGAGGCATTTAAACACCGTATTGCCTCTCTGCATCGCTCTCCACCAAGAGGTTCTGCCCTCACAGTATCTGCAAGGCAACTTCAAGGGCCTCATTTCTCAGTATCCAGGGCCGAAGGAGTGGCAGCAGCAGGATCCAGGGAGGTATCCCGAGGCAGACAAGGCACAGTATCTCGGAGCTGGGAACTACTGCATGAACCCGAAGGAGTGGGCTGGCTCCAAGCACTCACTCGTGCTGCTTGTGCCCAGACCCTCTGTGTGCAAAGAGGTGCTGTGTTTGCTTAAAAACAGAGGCTTTTAATGTGTTTCTGATCTACGCAGGCTCCCTTCCCTGGGATCATGGTGGGAATGCTGTTTAAGCCACCAGGCTCTGGAGGCCTCCTGCGTCTGCCTCCTCCTTCCCTTCGTATTCAACACACACTATTCAGCTTAAGATGCAGCTTAAGACGGAAGACATCTATAAAATCCCCCAGAAAACATTCCCATTTAAGTTTCTCATGATTGATTCACTGGGTTATGCATTTGCAAAGACTCCGTTGGTGTGTTTGAAAAGTGGCTTTGAAATAGTATTTTATGGATTCCACCTTGAGAAAGGTGGCATGATTTATAGGCAGTGGAACAGTTCAGGATGAAGACCTGTCTTGTCAAATTTTACAGTCAACAGAAAAGTCATTCCTCACAGTGAGGTAGACCACTTCATTAAAAATGAGGCTGATCAGAACAAACAAATTTTGTCAGATGCAGCAGAATGTGACACCAAACTCTCCAGGCAGAGAAGCCAACCAGGGAACTGCTAGAACAGTAAGTAAAGGTTAAACTAAGGAGAAGATGAGACCTGACACACTGCTTGGAGATGCCACTGACTGGTGCCTGGACTGAGCAGTGAATGTAACTAATGAGTCCCACCTTGATGACAACAGCCTGTATACAGGACACATTCATTATATCACACAGCATCGATCTGATGTTCTGGCACTATTAAATATCAAGATGTTAATTAGAGTAACTCTAAATACTAAATAAATGTGCCATTCTTTTGGCACTATATAAAAACAAAAGACAAAAATGGTCTTGTCCTGAGAGGTTTTAAACTCAGCTAAGCTAGAAACATCTTAAGAGAGGAGAAAGATGCAATACAGAAAACCTGCAGCATCACTAAGTCTTAGGCCAGGGTTTCATCTCAAGCGTTCAGGCTCTGCAGTGCCCAGGCCTTGGTTACACACAGCCCGTGTGCAGCAGTTTGGTATGTGGAACAGGCAGGATCCTGGGGCAAAGGACCTACCTGAAGTAGGAGGAGATCAGCCTAAAGCAAGGGCAGGAGTGGATACCTTGAGGGGGAATGAAGTGAAGGGGCTGGGGAACAGGAGGGACAGGCAGTGCCTGAAGCTGAAGCCAAAAGCCTGTGAAGGTGTGAGAAGGAAGAGGTGGGGAGGAAACAAGCAATCTGCACAGGGCAGGAAAGGTCCAGTCAGAAGGTCACAAAGTTCTCTCAACACCTGAAGATCACACTGCCAACTGCAAACAAACACATACTACATTAAGTGTTTGAATTCTATTATCTTCTAATGCAGCACTACTTCACTGACAATGTTTAGTTTAGTATAGCCTGTTTTATTTCACTTACTACGTTACACAACTGGCCATGTGCATAGTTGGTGACAAATTGTACAAAATTCCATGTGCATGGAATTAAAATGGCATCTCCTGGGAATCCGGACCTTCTACCCAGTAAAGAATGTTGGTGTTTGAGGTCAGTTTTCAGATCCTCATCCAAAACCCCATGGAATCAATAGAAAGACTGACTCACAGAACCCATTTTCTGATCAGGACATATAGCAATAGCAGTAACAAAGCAATGGCTTTGGTTATTTCCCCCTACTCATTTGTTTTAAAATTCAGGGGAAAAAATATTGATTATTTTCTTAATGTCTGACTGCTGTTCACCACTGTTCAGGGCATTAACACCGCCAAGATGCCAAGATCACTAGCAAGAACGAAGGCTTTTATCTTTATTACCACAAAATAGATGGAATGTGAGCAGGGGTGGGAGGGACACGTTTCATTAAACAATTGCTCTAAAAAACCAAAAATTCACAAACCAAAAACATTTAAAACACTTTAAAGATAGTCTTCATTATGTATGGATTTGGAGAAATAACAAGGAACTTATTTGGAATGTTATTTGGAACAAGGAACTATGGAACATACATTATTAGGAACAATAAAAATTCTGGAAGAGCTGGTTTATCAGAAATTTTCACTGAAAAGGATCAATATAAGTAAGTTCTTATTCTGAAAATCTTAAAAAAAAGGAAATTGTCCACATGAATATTTTCAAAATGTGAAATTCAAACTATGTGAGTCACAAAATCACAAGTGATATTTTGTTTAAAAAATTAAATTCACTGCAATAAAATCAGAAACACCAAGCTTAAAATCTGAAATTATATTGAGATTCTGGACTGAATCTGGCTTGTATTCCAGCTGAGGATAGGAAAAAAAAATAAGATGTTTTTTGTTCTAGGAATAAAATTGGAAAATTGCTCCTTGACCAATCCAACGTATTTGCATTAGTTATGAAAATACAATTCAGTACTCACTGTGCAAGAGCCACAACCTGCTTCCAGGTAGTTGTTAGTGGTAGAATTGTTTTGGAAGCGTCGTTAATGTATTCCAGTAAAATGGCGTCAGGTGGTGGAGACCAAGGCACATTTTCAAGGTTTACTTCATCCTGGACTTCGGGTGTAATCTGAACATCTTCTTCTTTCACTTTTTCCTCTTCTTTTTTCACCTTCCCTTTCCTTACATAGAAAACAATATACCCTTTTTTTAGAATACTGTAATTTTTGAAAGTACTCCAACAGAATAGTTCTCCAGAACATTTTAGACAAACTGATTTTGGAGGGAAAGGTATGAGAACTCTTCCCTCCTGATAATGAATCCTCCAGAATCTACAAAACTTTAGAGAACACTTGAGGAAGAGATGGTTAAGAACCACTTGACACTGTCTCCATATTAATACTCCTGTAAAATCTTTTTTGACATTTGTGTATGGATAAATATACGGATTATCTAGGCTAGAAGTCACTTATCTAAATACAGCTACATAACAATAACAAGAAGCTTTTAGAGAGGCAACATTTTTAGACTGCTACAGCTTACATACAATCATAGTTAAAAATAACAAATTTCCATGGGTTTTTATTTGACAGAAATATCTACTTCAAATAAAGGAACAATTGGTATCAACACCATGGCTAAAATATTGACCAGACATACCAGGCAATAGTCCATGTACCTGTAAATTCATGTATTTTGCAAACTACAGCATGGTTGTAAGATGAAGATTTTATAAGAAATCTATGTTTTGATGATTTTTTTTCACTGTACCTACTACATTTACCACTAAAACTCAGGATTTGAAAGATGACTGTGATCCTGAACAGATATCATAAGCCTTTTCAGTATATGTCCTGAATAATTCTACTGTGAAATACGACAAAATATCTTCTTCCCTTTCTCTTACAGTTCTGGCATTATTGGAGGAAAAAAAAGAAGAAAAAGAAAAAAAAAAGAAAGAAAAGAAAAAAGACCACCAGAGAACTTACAGAGAACATAGCTTCAGGGCACATTTTTATTATTTTATGTTCTTCGATTTATTCTTTTTTTTTTTTTTTTGCAATTAACACATTTCAGCACTCTGAGGACTGAAAGCATTGTAGGAAGCAGAAGGACACATGGCATAATCAGTAGTATAATTCAAGCCATTTGTTCTCAGAATAGTTTGCAAACTTTTCTTTTATGTTATTGAGATTAGTCACATTCACCAAAAACCCTTTGTATAGATTAAATAAAACACATTTTAGATTATCAAACAATTTAGATTTAACACTCAGATAAATTCAGCACCCTCTTAAATAACTGTTCCAGCTATTAGTTACATTTTTACTTAAAACAGAAGACAAACAATTTTCTTTATCTAAATTGATTCTATCTAACTATAGCTTTCAACCTTATAATGCTAGTTTAAACAGCTACCTACTTCCATATTTATACTCTTATACTAAATGTTCAGAAATACCTTTTAAAAATGAACTCTTTCTGCATCTCTGGTGTCTCACTTAACAGTTTTTCAAAACAACAGCCTTCTGCAAATGTTACGATTCTTGTTCTTTTACCATTTTCCCTCTTTCTCTGCTGCTTTTCCCTTTTATCCTCCCAATACTTCTTTTTTCCTATGAAAAGTGCACTGTTCAATCATTGCACTGCCTCAGGAAAATGTGTCCTCTAGTTCTGAGTACTCAAATTACTGTTGAATCACACTTATTCTATTTCTCTGTGGTCTTTAGGAGGGAAAAAAAAAGTCGAGAAGGGGAAGTATGAACAGTAATTTTCTGCTTTTTGCTTCTTATTTCTCTGAGATTCTGCTCCTTGGTGGAATGGCTGTTTTAAGATTGTCTTCCAGCTTTCTCTACCCTACTGCTCAGCTCTTCAATCTGTCATGTCTGTCTTATATTTGTCTCATAAGGAACCATGAACTTGCTTTCATAGTATCAGCTATGACACCTATTTTGTTTCTTTTTTTTTCATAAATTAATATTTTGGCCATTTTTAGAAAAGGAGTAAATGAATATTGAAAAGTATTTTCTTATATGCTCTATCATAACATAGCACATAAAGAATGCATGTTTATCAGTGCACATTAAAGATTATCTTTTAACCCAGTCAATGTATATATTAGATATGCAACTGTTTGATCAAAAATATTGCTATCTGTCTATGCAAATATATGTCAAACTATCTACTAGGCACTTCCTCTACAACTACTTAAAACTTTACCAGCAGACAATTATAACTGTCCTTTCTTCTTACCTTACAACTTCAGTTTACATAAACTAGTATCACTTTTTAAAAACAATGGTTTTAAACTGTGCGTTCAGTCATACTTAGCAAAAAACAGTGATAAACAGAAACATACGATCAAAGGAAAAAAGCATTTAGGAAAAAGTCAAAGCATGTGTGAGACTTGGAGACAGCTACTGACCTTCAAGTAACTCCCATATATCTCACAAATTAATAGCAATAATGATATATGAATTATGGATTCAAAATGAATGACAATGGGGTTATAAATCATACAGCTTGATCATGACATTCAAAAGCAATTATTTCATACTTGAAAAAAGAAGTCTTGGTATCCTTGCAAATTTGCTATGAGGAAATTGAGCCAGGCATTTGCTTTTTCCAAAATACATTTTTTCTTCTGCTTTCCAAAAGTTGCTCTTGCTAACAGTGCAGTCATTTACTGAGTAATTGACATAAATTATACTAAAAAGCAACTAGCAAGGGTATGTTCCCCTTATGCTGAAAAATCAAGACAATTCACATGATTCATTCCTACTATAAAATTATTTAAACTGCATTCCAGAAGTGCTTGCAGTCTAAATAACTAATCAATGTAAGTGTCTGCTCTGTAAGTTTGTAACTTGTAGAGAGAATACCCTTACAACTTGGGTCCTGAACAGGGGCAGAAACTCAGATCTTCATAGTCAGGAGCCATCACCTGTCAACAATTTGCATGTCAGTTCTAAATTAATTCATAATATAATACCTTGAGCCTTTCTCTCTACTGCTGCTTTTGTTGAGTGAAGACCTTCGTCCAGCTAATTCCTGTTTTTCTTCCACTGGAGATGCCGTTAAACTATTGAGATCACAAAATAGGTTCCAATTTTCTCTTTTCTTTCTTACTGCAAATTTGATCTCTCAAGCATGCAAACATATATATACGTACAAGTAAATACAAAAAGCATAAGAAATCAACAACTCTGTCAAAAGGATTAGTTCATGGATGAGCTCCAGCTTAAAATTTGAAAACATAGTAGCTCAGTCTCTGAAACAAGGACGCAATTTCTCCCCCTTTTCAAGTTCTGTAGCACTCAGTATTTTATAATGTCCACCATTGGTTAAAATTCACAGCCTTGATGTGTGCCAAGGCCCCCTTATATGATAAAATAAAAAAAAATAGGAAGCCAAGACCAGAATCCACACAAACCAGCATGACAAACCACAAATTCCTTAGGTTAGCTAACAGAAGTAGTCAGGAGTGGTTATAGGTTACGTCATGTTCGTATCAAGGATTAGGTAGCATGCCACTGACTGCAAGGAGGCTCTATTTGGGCTGGATTCAGAAACTCAAATTCTTTCCCTGGAATCAGGTGCATATTCCAGTCTTCTCTGAAAGGCCCAGCTGTGATCATGATGGTGATACTGTTCTACATAAGGACTTACTGTTTCAATGGTTCAGTTTAACAAGCTAAGGTTTAAGTATTATTAAGTATTATTAAGTATTATATTAACAGTCATCATGGCCAGGACTAGAACTTAAGTTTCCACTCTCTCAGAGAAGTGTCCTAGCAGCTGAAGCAGAAAGCTCTGTTCCTTGTATCTCATCATTAGTGAACAGCTACAACAAAGCAGAGTGAGGCACCTAGATTGTGTGACCTGCTCCATGCAGGTGGGAGGGGTAGGCTCAAGTCCTCATTCTATAAAAGAAAGAAATAAAATTCCTGCAGCCTTAGAGATTGTGGCTCCCATGGCATGAGCACACATGTCCAGGAGAGCAGTTCCACGAGAAGTTCCAAGGAGAATTGTATCTACTCTATGGATCACAGGGAGTCCTTCATGAGCCAGGCATTTTTAAGCTGAGCATTATCAAAACTGAGGTGGTTCTGGGCATACTCTTCTCAGCTTTTAGTCATGTATGGAATTTTACTGGCAGAAATTTAAACTAGAAACAAGGATGCATGTAGGCAGCATAGGAACTTTCTCTGGCCCTAGGTTCTAAACTGAAAAAAAATCTGCCCTTATTTGCCGACATCTTGATTCTCAAGCTGCACAATAATAGCATTTTCCTGGTTCCTAAGGATACTGAAAGGAGAAAAACTGAATAATTATGAGATGATCAAATACAGCATGGGGAGGAGGGATATATAACTCAGATAGACAGAGGAAGATCATTGCGATTAAGAGGTGGAAGACTTTGAAAATATGTTTAACACTATATTAACACTATAAATGCTCAATAGCACTATTGAGCCTTTTTACTCAGTTTGAAAACTGTCTATCACTATTTTCAATCAGATTTCTGCTTCTGATGTTAGTACAATATTCGTTCATTGACGTCCAGTATAATCTCCAGATCATACCTGGGTTTTTCTCTACTGCTTCGTCTTGAAGAAGAATATGCCAAGTTAGCCTGTTCATTAGATGCATCTTGTGGCTTTTCCTCTGCTGCAGGGACACTGAAACGAAACAAGATATTTTTACATATTATTTTTTAGAAATAGTTTTGCACATTAAGCTAAGCAAATAGGCTTCTTATTTTACAGGACAATAAATATATTAGCAAGAAGACAGGAACTTAAAGAAATAACATAGCAACTAGAACACCTGTGATTCATTCAGGGGTCAAAAACAAAGCATGGACAGTAGTGGATACATAAGTAACTCAGGAGTAAGACTGCTGACAAGGTACAAAGGCAAGAAGCTGTATCAAAGAAAGAAAACTTGATAGAAAAAGACAACTTTAGGAATCAACAAAGAGTGTGGATGGTTAATTTGTCATAGATGTTCTCAGACATCTTTATAGTGTCATGTACAATCTTAAAAGGGAAGTTAATGATACTATAAACCAAATATGTGATGTGTTGACAGAGAAGAAGGTTTTGGACTTGCAAAATATTGGTAGAGCATTCTTTGATCTTTAAGACTGTTTAGAGGAAATGACTTCTAGTTAAACAAGCCAAATATCAACTTCCTGCATTCAAATCGAGACTGGCTTCAACTTAAATAGAGAAGAAATGTGTACAGATTCTTTATATTATAGTACTACAAATACTTTATATTATAGTACTACAAATACTGAAAGCATCGTGAAAATTTGATGCTTGCCTTTGTCCTGCTTCCTGGGATGATCTCCTTAAAATTCCATCTATTTGTTGGTACAAGAAGAAGATCAAATCAGGGTTCATTGTCATTCATATTGATATTCAGCTTAGATGAATCTTTGTTAATTTTTGCTATAAAACACCAATAAAACACCGAATGTCCCACCATTCAGAATAAAGGCTGAAGGAGACTTCATGGCTAAGTTTCCAAGAAACCCAACTAAACTGAATATATCTTTTCTGTCTAAAGGGAAAGTAATTATCAAAATTCATTATTTTATAAAATACAAATCTATTGTCTCCAGGGTCATGAAGCATTGTGCGGGGATTAAAATATATCTCTCACAATACAAATATCACAGTAATTTTGTATTATTTGAAAGGTGGACAAGGTGGAAAAGGTGGAAAGATGAAAAAGGTGAGCTACTGTAATGAAAACTGTCAGATCAAATGTGACTCACGTATTTTGTGGTTTAGCATTAATGAAGATTATGGCTCGACGGTCAGTAAGCTCTTTTTTACTCAGTTCCTCCAAAGATAAAAATTTCACTCCAGGTTGTATCTACAGAAATATTATAAATATTATATTGTATTATAAAACCTATCAGTTTATTCTGTTCTTCTAAAGCTGAACACTTAAAGCATCATTTAAAATTCCAAATCTTTAACAGAATAGTATATGTATAAACTTTAAAAATTATTCAAAATATATCAGTTACTTCTTTATTTTTCTCTAGGCAAGATGGTTTATAACTTATTTTAAATTTGTTTTTATTATGTCATCTTAGATCTAGAATAGATAATTGTTTTTGCCTCTGAAGACTTCACAGTCTTGAATGGATTTTTCAAAAGCAACTGAATGCTTTAGTACCATGGATTTTACTGATTTTCAATAAAACTGGTATTTCTCATTCATTTGGTAATTTTGCAATTTCTCCAATTTAATTCTCTGATTTAATTCCAAACACAGTACTAAGTGGTGATACACAGTAGAGTCAGACTTTATATAAATACTGCTTGGTGAGAGAAAGGATTGTGACAAAGATGAAAATACAAGCTCTTTACTTGTTTGCATAAAAAAAAAAAGCTCATTAAGTGTTAGGTAAGTATTAACTATACTACAGTGAAAGAGACCAGAAGAGGAAGGATCTGAAATGGAATGAGGATTTGGCAAAAGGTCCTGACTATGGGATAGCGCGAAGATGAAGTTTCACCCCCACAGGAAGAGATAATCAAAAGAAACTTGTAAGAAAATGTTATTCTTTCTAAGTAAAGCAATTTATCAAAAGTGGCTTACCTGACCACAGTCATAGAATCCATCAGTAATAATGTTATTTGATGATAAATAACCCATCTGGCCATACTTTTGGGAGAGATTGTTATCAAGTAGCTTTTCCAGAGCTCCTTTACTGAAGTTATTTTTGTGCCCCGTTGACAGATTAATTTCTTCTAAGTTCTCTAAAGCCCTGTTTGGGAAAGCACCAAGGCTAAGTCATCATTAGGTACCAGCTAATTGTTACACAATTCAGGGCTGGTTTTCAGCATTACTGAGCCCAAGACACAGATTCATTTCCAAGCCCTCCAGGCCAGCAAGGAGCTGACTGTGCTGCCTACAATCCTTTCTCTAGAGAAGAAAAAATGCCTTGCAGAGCTCCAAAGCAAAAGCAATTCCTGTAGACAGTCAAACAGCTACATAAAGGATCTGACAGGATGCCACAGCTAACGTTTTATCAGAAAGATAGTACAGAGAACTCGAGAATAAAAAGAATATAAAAGCAGAGCAAAGGAATAGTGTGCAGAGCAGACCACATGGTATAGTTCAGGGAATCTCTCTCTCTCCAGGTTGTGATACAGTTTACCAGCTCCGGTTTTGTATTATCAGGTGTGTGAATCTCCCTGTTTTCTGACTGCTGCTGGCCATGGGGAGGGTCAGCTGGCAGAGATTTGCTAAACTCGGGCTAGCAGAGCCGCCTAACGCTTGTGCCAGCCATGGCCAGGATGGCAGCACTTCCGCGGTGCGGAGGGAAAAGCAGGTAATAACGTGTGGACGTGGGACGACAGGAGCTCCAATTCCTCGAGCTGCTCTTGGTGCTGAAACCCACGTAGCTTCTGGGAGAAGCTCACTAAGGAAATAACAGAAACTGCATCAGGAGGAAAGCAGGCGCTGCACGAAAAGAAAAAACAGGAAATAAAAAGAGATCATTCATCCAAATTTCAGAGTCCAAAGGACTCTAGATCAAATTATGAAACAATCAGTTTGAAAGCACGCAAGAGATAAGATGGTAAGAAATAGCCATTATGTATTTGTCAAGAATAAATCATGGAAAGCCAATCTAATCCTTTGTGTGATAGGGTAACTGATGTAATGTATAGGCAGAAGCAGGAAATGTGAGATATGTCTTGACTTTGAGATATGTTTTGACTTTAATATGTCTTTTCACATATTCCTACTTGAATACTCATGAGCAAGTCAGCGAAATATGATCTACATGAAAATAACATGAAGTAGTGCCTGACTGGTTGAAAAACTATGCTTAATGCATTATTATCAATAATATGCTGTCAAACTGGAATGATACATAAATTAGAATCCTACTTTGATATTGTCATAAAGAAGGGATTAAATATGAACAGTGCTATATACAAGATATGGAAAATAATTACTGAGCTGTATTTGATGGTGGTTTGACCTCAACTGAAGTATCTCATCCAGGTTGGGAGACTGCATTTTAAAATGTCATAAATAAATGAAAGAAATTCAGGCACTGTGACAAAACTATACAAGAGTTCAAAACAATAAAAAGTTTAACAATGCTTTTATTTTGTCATGGAAGGGAAAATGAGAAATGGACATGGACCATGAGACCATGAGAAAACTCAATAGCTTAAAAAATCTGAACTGTTACAAAAAAAGGCGGTTATTAAAACTCACTGATAGTAGGACAAAATGTAATTGGATTGATTTACTGTAAGGCACATCTATAAGCCCCAAAACCTTCTAATTTCTATTTAAGACCTCAATCTATAACCCTCAAACCCTTCTAATTTCTATTTAAGCCCTCAAATACGTTACCTCAGAAAGTTGTGAAATCTGCTCAGAATTGCTATTTACAAGCATCCTCAACAAATGTAAACAGGTCAGCATAGCTGGTTGAGTCTTATAGCATCGCCAATAAGGTTCCATCCAAACCTACATTTTTAAGATTGTGACCTTGCAGGTGCTGTTGTAGGTAGATTAAGTGAATGTATTCAGTAACCTGAGAAGCATTCAGCAGAGCCAGCAGGGCAATTGCACACAATTACACACATTTAACTGTAACTAAAAGAATCACCCTGTACAAAAGCCCTGTGTCATAATTCTTACAATCTAAGATAGCTTTTCTAATGCAAATATAAATATATGGAACTCAGAGTTTCTAAGAAAGAGTAAAATAGTCTCCTTTACATGGCACTTCAACAGTTAACTTGCAGTTGACTAAAGCTTGTAAACCAAATTCAGCCCCAATGTAACAAGTACAATTCATTGAACGTTGAATTTATATTGAAGTTTTAATTTCAATTTCATATTGTCTGTAGCATTGTAGCCCCTAATTTTGATTGACATATGCCTATCTTCAATGTAAAACCCGGTTCAGTCACAGAAACAATATGTTTTTATAATTCCAGACAGAGAGCTCTCCCTTCTGGTTTGCACGTTTTATTTCATACTTCTGCTACTTAAAACCAATACCACTTCATCTGTAAAAACTATGGTGTAAAAGTAATTTCAGCTTACAAAAAAAAAGCGTATCTTAATTTTGCTATTCTGCTCTAAATATATAATGATTCACATTGAAAGAGCTCTTTCATTCAAATCTTCCCCTTGATACTGTTTCTACTCACCCTAGCCTACACAGCTCAATAGCTGTAGGTTCATCACTTGCACAAACCATAACAGCCCAACAGGCATTTCTTCTGACTTCTTCATTCCTAGAACGCAGCAATTCAATGAGTGGTCCCAGGCCATTTGCATTTCTTAACTATTAAAATAAAAGAAGAAGAAAAAACAGATGTGATTGCTACTAACAGCAATCCCAACATGAACAGTCCATGAAATTCTTCTTTGAAACATTTAAGCCCTGAAGACAAGCTCTGCTGGGCTGGTAGAATGGACATTTGTGGAGATTTTCTCCTTCTGTTAACTCTAAGGAGGCTGGAGTCTGAGGGCTTTAGAGTGGTCCATGCAAACTCATTCCTGAACTACCCATCCTGCAGCTTGCTCTGTGCTCTGCTACCTCCTAGCAACTAATTTATATCACAATATACTTGAATTTGCACTACACTGTATGTATGACAATCTTAATAACATTCTTTCTCTTCTATGCTGTACTCTCTCCTAAACGCTAGAGGAAATACTGGTCAGCTGGGTTCCTGCCGAGCAATACTTTTTAAGGACACTGAGTAAGGTAGACTGTCTGTGCCCCTTATTCGTGTCCTAATTAATAGCCTTGAGGCTTGAGAAATCTCCAGTTTATTTTCTATGAATGTAGATGGCACCATCCTTTGTTATGAAAATACCATGACCATTGATAAACAGATCTAAGTTCAACTTGCTAGATGCTACTGATCAAGGGATTCATTATATTTTGAGTTTTATTTACTCCAGTCACATCCAGTCAGACATTGCCACTCAGGCCTTGAAAATGCACAGCAAAAAACACTGAAGAAAGGTGAATAGGGTAGAAGTGCCCATGTTGAAAATGCAATTGATGATCCCAGTTGAAAGACATTTTAATACTCATAAATAATGGGGATTCAGATACAGCTAGCTAGCTAGATGCAGCTATTCAGCTGAAGCTCACTGAAGCCACTGGCAAGCTATAAAAGATGGACTGAGTTAAAGCAAATACAGCAGTAAAAATAAAAATTAAAGAAAACCCTTTCAACATTTCATGACAAATTCAGCTAAACAAGCCTATGATGAAAGAACAAACAGAATTTAAGACAGATATGCAAAATACAACCAAGGTAACGTACCAAGGTATAATGCAAACTTCTGAGCTTAGAAATGCTATGAATAACCGCAACCTTGCAGGCAGTTTTACCTCAGTTCTTGCGTCGGCGTCGCAAGCAAACGCGGCTACGGCGAAGGCCGCCGTGCTCTGCACGTGGCTGTTGGTGGAGCGCAGGGGCCCCACGAGCGCGCGCCGCGCGCCCTGGCTGGCGGCGCTCAGGCGCAGCGGCTCCTGCATGGCCATGTTGGTCAGCACTGCAGCAGCGTTCGCAACGGCTCCGTCTCTCTGAGCACTCAATGTATTTATTAATGGCTCAATCCCTTCAGCTTCAGCAACAGCACTAGTAAAATAAAAGGGGAAAAATTGCTATTTTAGAACTGTTTTTTCCCCTTAATGTTTTATATTTACGAACTATATCTCTACTACATTTCAAGAAGAATATCCACAAAGTATTGCTTAAAATATTGCATACTTGCAGTAAGTTGCAAGGCTGACACATATAGTCTAAATTACAATAGGAAAGTGAAACTAAACATTGAACTGTGAAAACTCACCTTTCTGATGCCATGAAGGGGTGGGAGCTGTGAAGCTCAAGAGACACAGTGTAAACAGATGAAACAAATTACAGACTTCTGGATTCTTTAGCTTAAGACATCGACTCTTTCTTTCTTTCTTTCAAACCAGTGAATTAGATCTCATATCTTTCCAAAGAAGCCAAATTTCTGCTTCTTTACTTCCAGTCAAACGCCTCTGCAGAGGCTTATCACCTTTCCTCAAATTCATTCTAACACTTTTCAGATGAAGATTTTAGTGCAGAGAGAATCGCACTTCTGCTCTTTGTGCCCTCTCCTTACACTTCTGTGTTAGGATACCTGGATGGCAGAAACCTAACGCCGCAGCTCCACGTGAGCTGATGCAGGCAGCACGACTATTTCAAACAATACTGAAGGAAGATCATTGAAAGGAGGGTTCAAGGATCACTTCATACATCTGGGTTGGTGGGCAGACAAATAAGACAGCCAAAGCAGCAGCGCTGAGGAAACAGTAACTTCAGGCCGGAGACAGCAGGAGGTATGGACAGCTGCACTACTGGGAACATTTGGAAATAAATCAGATGTGCTGCCAAACTAATAGTAATGTGGGACTTCATCTCAGTCACAGTAGAAGGAATCAGTCTGTGAGAGCTCCATCCTAGCACTGCTGTTCTGCTTCTGCTATTCAGCTGAAAAGAGCCTTTAAAATCAATTTCCTATTTAATATCTGGGATAAAGAATATATTTGAAAGTCTCTGGTGACACTGCTTATAATGACAGGAAATCCTCAACTATGGCTGATGCAGATACTGAAGAGAGAACTTGGACTTGCTGAGGGGACTCTCCAGTGCTCTAACAAACCTGACTTTCACATGCTGAAAAGATCTGGGTTACCACTCCTCATGTGTTCTTTACCCTAGGCAAGGAATACAAATGTAGTTTACATTCTTCAAATACCATAAGGTCCTCCATATTTTGATATTTTTGTTTGCCTTCTTGCCAAGACTGTTTTTTCACTAAGCAATGTGTCTAATGTATGCTTGCCATTGTCTTGTCACGCATTTCAGTGTTACTGTTTCCAACATTGTTATATACCACCACATATAAAAATTCAGTTTTACTCCTTATGCATTTATGTATAGTATTTGATCAAATGATTTGAGGCGTATGTCCAACTCACTATATGTTCATAGCAATTTTATACCAGGCTCAACTGTTTGTTTGTTAAACAAAAGTTGGCAATATTCTTAGCACCAGGAAAGCGCAGATGGCCATATGAATTTTTCTTGCAATTACTTTTTCATATCTTTACTTTAGTATATTTTCTATATCAAAGGAGTAACAAACTCTCCCATTTCTATACAAGTGTAACTAAGCACTTCAGCAATAGAATAGCATTGTTTTTATAAGTTTTGTTAACTTTCTGTCAAGACATTAATAACAGAAATCTGGATTTGCAAATCTTACTTTTATAGCCTGTTATAAAAAATCTAGCCAATCTTTTGGTAACTTTTACCATTACAAAACAACCACAAGCTTACAAGTATTACATGAGAGAGGAAGAGTTATGCTAAGAAAGATTATCAAGGCATCCATAAAAGCAGGAAACC